TCACTTAGTCACCTACTCACCCACTCATTCAATGATTCACCGACTCATTCACTCGCTCACCCACCCACTCACCCATCCACTCACCCACCTACTAACTCACCCACCCGCTGACCCACCCACGCACCCACTCGCCCATTTACTAACTCACCCATCCGCTCACCCACCCACGAACCCACTCACCTCCCCACTCACCCACCACTCATTTACCCACTCATTAACCCACTCACCCATCCAACCACTCACTCAAATATCCACTAATTTACCCATTCACCCATCCAACCACTCAATTATACACTCACACACAGACTCACGAACTCACCCATTCACCCAATCACTCATTAAAAAATCCACTCACCCACGTTCTCATTCCCCACTCGCTCAATTACCCACTGACCCACCCAAGCACGAAACCATGTATCCACCTCCCTATTCATTGAATTACTCATTTAACCACTCATTCATTCAAACTAACTCACTGACCCGCCAACTCACTCATCCACCCACCTAATCATTTACCAACTTAACCACCCACTTACGCATTAACACATTCACACATCCACCAATCGACACACTGAATTACCCACTCATTCATCCACCTACCACACACCCACCCACTCACCCACCCACTCACTCACTCTCCCACTCACCCTCCCACTCACGCTCCCACTCACTCTCCTACTCACTCTGCCACTCACTCTCCCACTCACTTTCCCACTCACTCTCCCACCCACACCCACCCACTCACTCATCCACTAATTTACCCACCCACTCACCAACCCACCCACTCACCCACCCACCCACTCTCACTCACCCACCCACTCACGCACCTCCTCACCCACCCACTCACCCAATCACTCAATCATTCAAATACCCAATTACCCACGTACGTATTCACCCACTAATTCAATTACCCACTCAACTACTCACCCACTCACCCACTCAAGTACTCACTCGGTCACCTAATCACCCACTAATTCAATGATTCACCGACTCATTCACTCGCTCACCCACCCACTCACCCATCCACTCACCCATCCACTCACCCACCTACTCACCCACCTACTAACTTACCCACCTACTAACTCACCCACCCGCGTATCCACTTACTAACTCACCCATCCACTCACCCACCCGCCCACGCACGCACCCACCCACCCAATCACCTCCCCATTCACCCACCACTCATTTACCCACTCACCCATCCAACCACTCACTCAAATATCCACTAATTTACCCATTCACTCATCCAACCACTCAATTATCCCCTCACACACAGACTCACGAACTCACCCATTCACTCATTCAAAAATCCACTCACCCACGTACTCATTCCCCACTCGCTCAATTACCCACTGACCCACCCAAGCACCAAATCATGTAACCACCTCCCCATTCATTTAATTACCCATTTAACCACTCATTCATTTAAACTAACTCACTGACCCGCCCACTCACTCATCCACCCACCTAATCATTCACCAACCACCAACTTACTCATTAACACATTCACACATCCACCAATCTACACACTGAATTACCCACTCATCCATCCACCTACCACACACCCAGCCACCCACTCATTCACACACTGACCCACTCATTCAATTACCCATCCAACCATTCAACCGCCTAGCATCCAATTACCCACACACCGATGCACTCATTCATCCAGCACCTACCAACCCAACTTGCCACTCGATTTTGGTGTACCCAGTTGTACTGTTTGGCGGACAGAGGCAGGGGAACTTAAGATACTCGACCATTTTGGGACCTCCTTTGCCAGTACCAAAATATACTAATAGGGGTTTTCCCCTTTTTTCTGGCAAAATTTGACTGCAAGTATTGTGGTTAATGTAAGCATGATGCCTTGCAAAAGGTGTCAGTTTTGTTGCCAGAAAAAAGGGGAAAACCCCTATTAGTACTCGACCATTTGTTTCAACTGCTGTGCCAGAAGGTGGAACCAGCAATCTCTCTATTGCCAGTGAATTTTACGAGCCATTGCATCACAGCAGCCCCCTCCAGTATTTAATGTTTAACGAGGATCTCTCTCTCTCTCTGCGTGCACATCAGGGTAATATTTAATGAGGTGGTGTGGACGTCTCGCTGCTGCGTGATGGATGTGATGGCAGTGGGAAAGTGGGGCAATGGAACAGCGGGTCATTAGGGCAGAGTAGCACCAGCGCAGTGGACCAGCGGAGCATAGGGGCATTGAGGCAGTGGGGCAGAGGGGCAGTGGGGCCGTGGGCATTGGGGCAGCAGGACAGCGGAGCAGCCTGGCAGAGGGGCAGTCAGGGGGCGGATGTGTCAGACGAATCGCCTGATTATCTTTTCCCACCACTGCCTGTACACGTTCTAAAGAAGGGCCATTGCCTGAAACTTCTCTCATGACATAGTTGTCATTGTACCGCCGCACACACAGCCGGGACACTGCACACGAGACAAGGCACATTTAACCAACCCAGGCAGCACTCGCAAGCAATGCAAAGTTACATTGTTTCCTCATAAGTTTATGTCATGACGTTTATAATAAAAACAACAATGATAAGTATTACATAATACATTGGATTGATCCTATCTCTGAACAGAGTTAGTCTGTTGGCAGCAGTCATTGTCCAGTCCAGTCCTGGCATCTGCTGCTCAGTTTCCTTCCCCGGCTGCGGTCCCAGTGGCACCGTCTTTCCGGGGGTGCGTGTGGTGCGTGTGGTGCGTGTGGTGCGTGTGGTGCGTGTCACGGGGTGGGTGGGTAGATGGTGTGGTGCATGTGGTGATAGCGGTCATGGTAAGCACCGCACCACCTCCATCACCCCAACTGTGCGGTCGACCGGTCGCAACAAAACAGCATCGTGCTGCGGAGGAGCGCACGGATCGCGTTCGCCACACGAGCCAGGCCCTTTCGTTCCTGCACTACCACCTCCTCCTGTGTGGAGGTGTGAGTAAGGGTATAGAGGTGTGTGTGTAGGTGTTTAGGTGTATAGAGGTGTGTGTAGGTGTGTAAGTGTATAGAAGTGTGTGTGTAGGTGTGTGTAAGTGTATAGAGGTGTGTGTGTGTAGGTATGTGTACGTGTATAGAGGTGTGTGTGTAGGTGTTTAGGTGTATAGAGGTGTGTGTAGGTGTTTAGGTGTATAGAGGTGTGTGTAGGTGTGTGTAAGTGTATAGAGGTGTGTGTGTGTAGGTGTATAGAGGTGTGTGTGTGTTGGAAACATTTAGGCTGGCCTGCCTACGATCCATCCTGGGTTTAACCAGGCTGGACTGTGTGAGGAGCTCACAAATCCTTGAAAGATCTGGGCAAAGTCCCATCGGTGAGCTCCTCCGGTAGGCAAGGCTGCGTTGGCTGGGTCATGTAGCCCGCATGCCCAGCTACCGCATGCCTAAACAGCTTTTGTTCGGCCGGTTCGAGGGGGCTAAAACACGGGCTAGAGAAGAGATGGAGTGATGTGGTACAGGAGGACGTAGAGCTGAGTGGACTTGCCGATGACTGGTACCAGTAGTGTCAAGATCGGCCTCAGTGGAGGAGGCTCGTGAAGGACGCTACTGGGCAGTTGGAGGCAGTCGCCCTCCAACAACAACGGAGGGCGGAGGAGCGACACTCACAGCAACGAGCAGAGCGCCGGGTTGCTAAAGCACAGCAAGTTGGTACGGTAGGGGGCACAGGTGGTGCATCAGCCAGTCATCTCGGTCATCTCGGTCAGTCGACCCGTGGCACCTGCTGGGTCTGCCCCGTGACCTCCTGCCAGCGGGCGTTCGACACTTCACGTGGCCTCAAGGTGCACTTGGCCTGGCACAAGCGTCGTGGTGACGTCACCGCCACTTAGTGGCGAATGGCGGTTGTTGTTGCATAGGTGTGTATGTGTAGGTGTGTAAGTGTGTAGAGGTGTGTGTGTGTAGGTGTGTGTAAGTGTATAGAGGTGTGTGTGTAGGTGTGTGTAAGTGTATAGAGGTGTGTGTAGGTGTGTGTGAGTGTATAGAGGTGTGTGTAGGTGTGTGTAAGTGTATAGAGGTGTGTGTGTAGGTGTAAGTGTATAGAGGTGTGTGTGTGTAGGTGTGTAAGTGTGTAGAGGTGTGTGTGTAGGTGTGTGTAAGTGTGTATAGGTGTGTGTGTGTAAGTGTACGGAGGTGTTCGGGGAGTAACCCTGGCAGCGTAACGCTGCTGGCGTCTCGTGCTGCCGCCTGTACCGCGGCTTGTCCACCAGAGGGCATCGCCTACCCACGGGTTGTGTGGCGTCAGGGTGCGAAGTGGAGGGTGGGGGGAGGGGTCCAGGGAAGGGGGGGGGGCTGCTGCTGCAGCGCTCAGCAAGGGGTCGTGCTTGGTGCACCACTGCCAATTCTTTATTGCATCGATCTATCTCATTCTTTGTCTCTGCTTTTATTTCCTTGCGCCCGAGTATGCACCGCTACTTGTGGTACCCTCTCTCTACTCATTGGAGAGCCACGTCCAAACCACTAAATCTTCTTGTTTCTTGTGTGAAGCCCTCTCCAATATTTTATTTGATTTCTGCAAAAGGGCTGCTGCCATTACTGTGGAATGGTTGTCACGATTGACTTAAAATGTCGCGGTTCGATCTCCCAACCTGGCCTTGAAAACATTGACCAGGATTCTTACAATTCCCTGTTTTTGTCCACCCACAGTCCATCGGTGGGTCGAGTGCAGTGGGCTAAATGGCGAGTACTCCCACCTCTTTCAAGACGTATGGTCAGTGTGGAAAAGTTGGCCAAAAAATACCCACCGGATCAGCACTCTAGACCTCCCTCTAGTGGGGGTTCTTTCACCAGCAGTTGCATGAGCAAGTAATTGCAGGGCTGCACCATTAACCTCACGTGTACAACAATCATCTGGTTTCTGTGCATTTCAGAACTCCTTGATCCAGACCCCAGCATCCCAGTGGTGCAGGCTCAGTGCTCTGCATCGGTGTTACCATTGCGCCGTTGCATCTCTGCAACCACGTGCCACCCGTTGCCGCGTGTAACGTCGCTGCACCCTGTGCACCGCACGTGTCAACAGCCCCTGCCGCTGCTCCGCCGGGACACCGGCTTGATCCTGACGATGTCTCAGGAGCAGGCCGCCTGCCTCCTGGCCAACGCCTTCTTCTGCACGTTCCCCCGGAGCAACGCCACCGGGACCCGGAGCGAGGACTCTGCCTGCCCCGACATCAACGTCAACAGGTGCAGCAGCAGCAGCCCATCACTGTGCATTACACACCGAACACCGTGTGTCATGCAGTACACACACACAGATGCCATGCTCTTTATATGTAGAGTATTTCTTGCTGTATATGTAGCGTCGGAAATGCAAAGCACACACCACACTGTATGCTTACCTGTAGTTGCAGGCACGAGTCTGCAGGGGGTGCCACCCTGAGTTAGAGAGAGAACCGGGACCGTTGAGAGGCCGAGTCCCCCCCCCCCGACCCCAGGTGAGGGGTTGGGGGGTTATTCCAGAGCCACCTGGAAGGTTCCAGAAAGGGGGCAGTACCGGGGGTGGAGAGTCCCCGAGGTGGGTAAAAAAGACGGACCCCAGGACGGCCCGAGGCAGTGCTCTGAAGACGAAGAATGAAGACCGGCTAGGCAAGGACCCTGGGACCCTGGGACCCGGGACCCGACGTCCTTTAATGGGCCGGGGCCGAGCACGGACCAGTGGTCGAGACCCGCACCTTGGCTGGGTCGGGTCAGCATAGCCTCCCCTAGGCCACCCTTAGTCGGAGGACTCAGAGCCCGTAGCCCCAGTGATAGGGCACGTTAGCCCGGAGGCCATACCTCCCCAAGTAGTGGGAGTAAAAGGGGCTTCTGTTATAAGATTTAAATAAACCGTGTTGCCTCTAAGCTACGTCTCCAGTCTCCGTGGGAACCCACTACATATACACAAGAAATGCTGTTCTACACATAACGGCCATGCCATGTTTCAGTTCAAAGTAACGCTGCAGTACGTGCACAGGCTATGCTCCTTTACACATACTCTGTATTATACGGCACACACTTTCATGGTGCTGTGTACACGGTATATGATGCGTTACACATAGGCCATGCTGTATTATAAACTCCGTTCAAAGTATCAGTTTATACGTAGCCAATGCCACTGTACAAAGACAAAAATCCCCCTCATAGCCTTAACAGATTTTTGAGGCAAGTGGTGTTAGTGAGCACCTAATGAGGACTGGCACAGTACACAGGGGAGTGGGTGGCCAACACCATGCCCAGCCGCATTTGTCTCCCTCGTGGTGATGTGTACACACTGCATCAGGTACTCATTTGAGGTTGAGTCGACCATGGGGAGGCCCAGGACCGGTTCAGATATTTCCCACTGTTATACCGGTAGGAACAACAGGTTCCACACTGCCCACCAGGGATTATTTGTCTGTCGTGCATATGGGGAGGGGAGGGTGAGAGTGGGAGGGGTGGGGCTGGGTGGAGAGGGGAGGGTGGGGAGGGGCTGGGGGAGGGAAGGGTGGGGAGGGGCTGGGGGAGGAGGGGAGGGGCTGGATGGGGAGGGTGGGGCTGGGTGGGGGTGGGAGGGGTGGGGCTGGGTGGGGAGGGGCTGGTCACCCCGTGGTGCCCTTATAAAACTCAACGTTTAACCTACACACTACACTATACACGACACGATAAACTACACCAGGGGTCCTCAAACTACGGCCCGCGGGCCACATGCGGCCCACCGAGGACATTTATCCGGCCCATGGTCACTAATTGGGCTGCGGTGGTGGGCACTCATTGGGCTGCGGTGGCGAGCACTGATTTGGCTGCGCTGGCGAGCACTGATTGAGCTGCGGCGGTGAGCACTGATTGAGCTGCGGCGGTGGGCACTCATTGGGCTGCGCTGGTGAATGGTTCAATGGGCCAATTGACTGGACTTGCCCCCCAGGCCTAAGGCTGCCAACCCTCCCCTGGCTGTACTTGACTGGCTCTCCCTCCCTCAGCTCACTCACTTGCCCCTCGGCTCCACTCCCAGTGATATTCCTGTGTGCTGAGTAAATGATAGAGGGGTAATAACAGAGTGATCTCTGATCTCTGGAGGGGCTGCCTGCTGTTTTCCCGTGCTGGTCAGTGACAGACAGCCGAGGAGTAGGAAACCCAATTTAAATGACAGTAAGTGCATTTATATTCTGATTGCTATTCAGTTGTATGAGGTTATATGTTGTATGTTGTGTAAGCCCCGGTTCATACTGTTGCGATCTCTGAGCAGTGCGAGTTCAGCCATATGCTTGTATGGCTGAACTTGCATTAGATTCGGAAGAAAAAAGGCACATGTGCCTTCTTTTTTCCTGCAGTGGAATCGGATCGCATGGGTCTTCTCCCCCATGCGATCAGATTCCTATGCGAGTTCGCAGATCGCACTGCGATCTGTGAACAAAACTGCAGGTGTAATTAACTTTTTAATGGCACCCGCACCAGTGTGAGCCTGGGGTAAAAGCGGAGTTCCCCCAATCAGACAGCATTGATGGGCAGTGCAGTCTGTATGTCTCTGTGTGGGCAAAGTTATTGCTGGTATATTGTTTTTGTAGCGCTGTATATGTATATTGGTATTTTACTAATAGCAATTTTGACTCCCTTGGAAACAATGATGTCAAGAAAGAGAAAAATTGACTCGGAGTGTAGGATATTCAAAGAACAGTGGACTTATGATTACTTTTTCATGCAGTACAAGGAAAGAGCTGTGTGTCTGATATGCCAGAACATAGTGTCTGTGTTCAAAGAATACAATTTACGTCGACACTATGAACTCAACATAAAGATAAATATGATTGGTCGGAGAAGTGAAAAAAGATAAAATATTAAAACTGAAAAATACACACTACAATGACAATAGTTTAAAGTTTAAACTATTGTCATTGTAGTGTGTATTTAATGTGGCGCTGCACTCTGATGTTGTAGGAGAAAACATGTATTAAAAAGTCTATTTAATTAAGTAGAACGTGTTGTCTATATTTATTTAAAGTTGCGCATTTTGATGTGACGTCACATTTATCAACCCCCCCCCCCCCCCAATCGTCACACATGTCTGACCCCCCCCCAGGTGCGTGACGTCATTTATGGACGGCCCCCGAGTCCCCTGCCTCTGAGAGTTCCCAGCGGCTTGAACAAAAAACCTTCAACCTCGACAGACAACGCGAGACCACTACCACCTCTGCCACCGCCTCCTGTCAGCACTGTACTGGCCTGCGTGCGGAACTTCTTCCGCACCGTACGTAGCTAGTCCGAGGTGCTAATTTAGGATCCCTCTCCAACTTCCACCTCTTCACTGCCCCCCCCCCCAGACAGGGCAAACGTTGACAGCGGGCACGGGCTACGGAGCATGGATCCCGTGCAGGAGAAATGTCGAATGTGCGTGGGGAGCGTCAGCGCAGCACGCGGACACGGCGAGTCCAAGGTGCACGCACACCACAGGCGGCGCACGCGAGACCCCAGCAAGTCTGGACTTGCGCGAGAAAAATAATAAAATTATCATCTAAATCACTCAACACGAATTGGTTAACGCTTGTCACTGATAATCCAGAGTGACGCCTCACGTGTCGCTTGTTGTTGTGTTTGTTACCCGGGCATGGCAGCTGCGCGTATTGTGCGTCGTGTTGTGTGTGTTAGTCTGTAAGTTCGTTGTGAATGTTGTGGATTTGCTCTCCAGCACACAACCGATTAGTGCTGTGCTCGTCACGAATTGGCCACGTTCTGTTTACGTGACAAACCCCTTCCTAGTTGGCTGTGTCGGGTGGTTTAACGACACATTTATATTTACGCGATTTAACCCAAAACACGTCTAGTATGTAACTGTGTCTGTATGTTGTATGTATCTGTGTATGTATCTATGTACCAGTGTATGTATGTTGTATGTATATTGTATGTATGTAACTGTGTGTAACTATGTATGTTGTATGTATGTATCTGTGTATGTATCTGTGTGCGTAAGTTGAACTTCTTCCGCACCGTACGTGGCCACGCGTGGTGATCGCGGGCGAGGCCGAGCGACGCGAGAGGGGTGAGGGGGGGGCAGCTGCGGGTCGCTGCTGGACGGAATGTTCACTCAGCAAGCGCGCGTGCTGCTGCTGGGTTTGGACGCGGCCGGGAAAACCAGCATCCTGTACAAGCTCAAGCTCGACGAATCCGTGGTGACCATCCCGACCATCGGCTTCAACGTGGAGACCGTGCAGCCCATCAGGAACGTCACCTTCACCGTGTGGGACGTGGGCGGCCAGCAGAAGATCCGCGCTCTCTGGAGGCACTACTTCCAGAACACGGACGGGCTCCTCTTCGTGCTGGACAGCGCGGACCGGGAGCGCTTCCCGGAGGCTCTCAAGGAGCTGGACGCCATCCTGGACAGCCCCGAGATGACGCGGGTGCCCTTCGTGCTCCTCGCCAACAAGCAGGACCTCCCGCGGGCAGCGGCCACCGCGGAGGTGGCGGAGGCGATGAAGGCGGTGAAGACGCGGCACGGGCGCGAGTGGCTGGTGCAGGGCTGCTGCGCCCGCACCGGAGAGGGCCTCCTGGAGGGCGTGGGGCAGCTCTCCCGCTTCATCCGCAACTCCAGAGCCTCCTCGGGGACAAAGTGAGCTCGGCTCGGCAGCAGCAGCAGCAGCGGCGGCGGTGTCACTCCAAGGCGGCGTCTCTCGTGCACGTGGGGGGGGGGGGGGGGGGGGCTTCGAGTTGTGTCCACTGGTCGAAACTTCACTCGAGCGAACGCCGTCATTCAAACCAACAGCTCGCTGTGTGTGCCTCTGCATGTGTGGATGTCTCTTGGTGTGCTGTTGCTCTGGTTGTCCCTCTGGGCTGCCCAGAAATATCTTTCCATGTGTGTCTTCTCTGTGTATGTACCTCGTGTCTGTTCACGAGTCCCTGTCCTCTGTTTTTACGTTGGCATGTTCAGCCCAGATGATGAACACGAGAGATGTATCAGTCTTTTGAAATACGTGGTCAACCAGGTGAGTGTCTAACTGTGTTGTTGGCCGACTGGTTTGCATCACGTGATTGTTTCTAAGGTCTGTTGAGTTTCTCGTCTCCCATCTTCTTGTTGCATTTGCTTACGTGTAGTTCGCCCTTCTCTATGTGCTATGTACGTGATGTCCCCCTGTGTGTTCCCTCTTTCTATGTTTCACCCCATTTTCACCTGATGATGAGCGCTTGTGTTGCGTTCGAAACGTCGTGATTTATTTAAATTTAATTTATTTAAATTTTATTTTATTTCTACATACGTGTCTTTACCGGAAAAAAAAACAATGAGTAAAACAGCTTGTTGTGAAAGACCCAATGCAGAAGATCGCTGGGTTTGGTCTTCCACGAAGCTGCTCACGGTCCACCCTAAACCGCAACCACTGCACAAAACACGGCAGTAGATGCGGATACCCTGATGCACAAACGTTAAATTAGAAACTCTCCAGGAGCCTGCGACTGTGGCCATCCAGAACAGACCGTGCAACGTGTAACGGCGCAATGCCCGGTCCACAAACACGACGGAGACGTCACAGCGAGACACTCACTACCACTGCTTCTCACGCGGTGATCTTGGCTTGCCCACCTGGATGTGACTTCATAATCGTCTGCTGTGCACCTGCATCAGCAGCCACACGAACGAAGCAGCAGCAGAAGAAGAGAACGCGGTCGCGTCCACGTGCACGCGCCACGCGACTGCGCGTGCCTCTCGCTGCGAGTGAACCTCCGCATCGTCGTCAACTGCGGACTGCAGGTTCACATTCGACGTCGGCTGTCGCTCTGTGATTCCACACTGGGGGGCAAACGCCTCCCCCGAGTTGATTCCGTTGCGCGCTTTCCTTGCAGCCGTCGCGTCGCGGCCTCCGGATGCTTTGGGTTCATCTCGCCATCTCTATGGGTCAACTTTGACCGCTCGTGGTTTAGATATATATATGTGAATGGCATCTGTAAATTAAAAGCGGCACAATCTCTGCAAGTTCTTTTTCATTGAAGGCACTTTAATGGCTCGTCTCATTTTCAGAAATACTTTTATAGACCAATAACATTTCCGAACATCTGGAGATAATTGTAGGATATATTTTTCCCGTCTGTCATACAATGAGATTGTTTGACCCTAATGGTTAAATTCATCAACTTACTCAATTTCCGTGCCCTTTGCGTTCACATGTTCTCTTAAACTGTCGTCAATTTACTTGTTTCTGGCTTTGCACTGCTCCATAAAATCTGTAATAAATTTTGAAACCTATTTTCGTGATAAATAATAAACTAGACAATGTAATCAGCGCAATGTAAATGTTTTAAATGTTTATGGTTCATATTCTCTCTGATTTCGTTACCCCGATGGTGATACGGGCGTTACCTTCACTGTTCGTGTCCTTCAGAGTGACAGATCGTTTACACTCCTCGTTGTCTTACACTCGCTAACTATGGATGGTGTACAGGACATGTAATGGAATGCCTTGTGGTATAAATCTATGACAGCTTGATCAATGTATTTGCCGTACGCATTGTACTTGTCTGTTATTTGATTGAAGGTGGCCTGATGTTGATAATGATTTCATGAATTCTGTTTTCTTCGTCGGTTTGTTGTTGTCTAATGTATCACATTTTTAGTGGATAATGTTGATGAATATTTTGTAGATGCACGAACCGAGGCTGATAGTCGTATGATTATTAAGATCCAATCGTCACGTTTGTGCAATAAATAGTTTGGGATCAGACAGTGTCGTTACCGTTAAATGTTCTCGGATTGTGCGACCTGATTTACATCTTGCTTCAAGCAGTTCTTCTTGACTCGAGTTTAAGATTGTTGCCCAAGTTTTCATCTTCGGACGATCGCACGATTTAACGTGCCTATTAACGATGTAAAAGTATCCCTAGACGCAGCTGATGATACAACTACTGGCTCCACAGAAGCAAATGAAACGTGTTACTGCATTTTAGAGCCTTAACATTCACCACTTATCATCAGCGCCTCCAGCCTGCCACTGTCGAAGATATGGGGATGAGGCACCAGTAGCCGTCCTGCAAACCTCAAGGGTCAGAATCAGAACCTTTATTCATACCGGAGGAATCCGATGAGCTATAAAGCTCTTTTTCACAGGTGTCCAGTAGGGACACGGGGTCAGAACGTTACAACAAACAATACAAAAACACGAAAGGAGTGGAAAAGATAGGAAAGAGGAAAAAAATATATTTAAACATAAATATACAAATAAAACTAAACGTGTATTTTTATTTTCCAGATAAGGCCCACTGAACTATATATATTCTTTTTAAGAAGCGACCCGGCCACAAATTTTAGCTCAACGAAGCGGCTTATCACGTGGAAATTTATAATAGCAAAGTAATATAAATAATCTAAACGCTTGAAAGTTGATTCTAAATGTGGAGTGAATCCCAGAGGACAATCCACAAGACCACGGGGAGAGAGAGAGACATTCACACTCCAACTATACAACAAACGTCAGGGTGAGGATCGAACCCAAGCCCTCCTGTATACCAGGCGAGGTAGTTAACATCTCGCCACCGTGGCGCTGTCCACACACGGCAGGCCGAGTCCAGTGACTCTGCAAGAAAGAGACGTCACCATCTGCGGGTCACCCAATGTGTGTTGCCGGAGCAAGGTCTCCTCGCTCTCGGGAGTCCAATGGGGTCTGTCACCTATCCTGAAGCCTCACATATCAGAACGACCGCGAACTGTTCTACATTGTGCAGTGTTTGTGGGATCTGAAGAAGGTGGTTGCGATGGTGACGGTGAAACCACTCCGGTTCTCGTCGTCTTGCTGGTAGGGTTCAACATCAGGGGAATCCGCCATCTCATTTCAGTTTCTGCCGCAACAGCCCCGGCTCGTTCTGTGATCTTTACCCGTCAGAATGACTGCGATTCCCTTCGTTTTGGTCTCCCTGCCTCTGCCCTCACTCCCCTGCAACAAATTCAAAAGGCTTCAGTTGATTATCTTTAATTCTCACACTTCCCCTCTCCACTGGCTTCCCGTTCACTCCACCGCTGTATTTTCAAATACCTCACGCTCGACTTTAAATCTCTTCATGGCCTTGTCCCACCTCATCTCGCCTCTCTCATCTTCCATAAACCTCCTCGCATCCTCTTCGTTCCCTTTCTTCTCTCTATCTCTATCCCTCCTCCCTGGCCCAATTCCGTTTTCAATTCTTCTCCCTCATTGCACATCTCCACTGGAAAAGAAGTCCTCTACATTGAGCAGCCCTGCTACCCCAAGTCTCAACACTGCCTATAGACTCAACATTGCCCACAGACTCAACACTGCCCACAGACTCAACACTGCCCATAGACTCAACATTGCCCACAGACTCAACATTGCCTATTGACTCAACACTGCCCATAGACTTATCACTGCCCGTAGAATCAACATTGCACCATAGACTCAACACTGCCCATAGACTTATCACTGCCCGTAGAATCAACATTGCCCACAGACTCAACACTGCCTATAGACTGATCACTACCCGTAGAATCAACATTGCACCATAGACTCAACACTGCCCATAGACTTTCGCGACCAATGTTATTAATAATCAACGTTTTTGGGTTTAGATCGCGTTTATTTATAAATGTGTCGTAACCCTCCACCACCCGACACGGCCAATCAGTAAAAATGTGTCACGTTGACAAAGACAAATAGTTCACTGCTTTAGCCCACCGGTGTGTTGAAGCCACAACATTTAGAATTTGAGTACGACGTTTCGCTGGTAATTGCAACCAGCATCATCGGGCAATTCGCCAGAATGGTTCTGGCGAACATTGCCCACAGACTCAACACTGCCCACAGACTCAACACTGCCCATAGACTCAACACTGCCTATAGACTCAACACTGCCCATAGACTGATCACTGCCCGTAGACTCAACATTGCACCATAGACTCAACACTGCCCATAGACTCAACATTGCCCACAGACTCAACACTGCCTATAGACTCAACACTGCCCATAGACTGATCACTGCCCGTAGCCTCAGCATTGCACCATAGACTCAACACTGCCCATAGACTCAACACTGCCCATAGATTTCGATTTAAAGCTTTCGTGACTGCAGGGATTCATCTTCTTGGTTCTTTCGGTAAAGTCACGTAGAAGGGAAGTAATAAAATAATAAAAATAAAACATAATAAAACAATTCTCACGACGTTTCGGCCACAACGCAAGCAGCCGTCTTCAGGTGAAGAATGAGACACTACCAAGCTAGGAGCTTATATATAAGCTGCGTTGGAGGTGGAAGAGCGCCTTAACAAAATAATGTGCATATGAAGAGGAATTTAGCATATTCATGGAAAATGCGTAGGAGGTGGGCGGGGGGGTTTCAAAGTCATATTATGCCCATGCATTATGCAGGATCAGCAGCACCAAAGGGGGGTGCAGGGAGTAGCAGTAACAAAGGAAAGGAATGTTAATGATATGTAGCTGCAGTTACTCAACAACCACGTAGAAAACTAAAGTATAAACTACATAAAAAACTAAAGTATAAACTGCATAGCACCATCAGTATACTTACTATACTCTACAATAAGCTGAGTTACTAACAGCAAGTAATACATTACAATTCTACGTCGTATAAATTATATAATATGCTTCCATCTAAACTTTAT